ATGCGTATGTGAAGGGTATGAGGCGCAAGACGCGGTACAGCTATCCCTTTTTGATCCGAGCAGGTCGCAAAATGCATCTCGTGCAGATAGTGGCTATGTCTATCGTCCTTAGGTGACACCCAGCTCTCAGTCGTGGCTCCCTAGATCAAGGGCTCGCCAAGCGGCCAACCCCTAATAACAGCCTGGACCTGAGGGCGAAACACTGTGATGGTCACCCGTGTGTGTCCGACTCCACCCCCGTCTATGCCCAGGAGGATAGTAGTAGTTATCGTAGCGGTAGTAGAGGGCGAATGTTTCGTAGTGTTAGCTTATTGTATTCCTGGTGTAGGAGTATTAATAGTAGCAGTGCAAGTAGTAGCCCTGCAATTATTGTTATTACATTACATTCCAAGTTAATATGAGTGTTAGCCTTAATAGTATTGGTAGTAGTATTTGTATTGTTGTTAATTTTACTAGTATTAACATATTTTTGCTTACATTAGTGTCATGTGTATGACATTGTCTGTTGTTACTCCTGAGCAATATAATTATTAGCAATATTACAAAGTTTTCTGGTATGGCTGACCCTAGTCGTATTATTGCTATTACTAGTGTTATCTCTTTATTACCTTTTGTATTGTTAGGATTTTAACTGACAGTATTAGTCACAGACCACAATGAATGGAGGTGGTCTATCATACAACAGTCAAGTAACCTACTTTTCTTCCACAGCGCTGACGGGACTACCCTACTCCCTTAGATGACTCAAATTTTGGAGTGCCGGACTGGACCCTTTCGAAGCGCACTCAACCGCCTCTCCATTATACCTGATGTCGCCATTGATTGCTTGCGTCAGGTGGAGATCAACACTGACCTCGATCTCCTGTCCAGTCTTCCCGAAACTACCAGGGCTGTGCAGCAACTCTCCAGCGGGTCAGTACCCAAATCAGACGCGATCCCTGCAGGGAGTTAGAACTACGGTGGCCACTAACTTATAGGCTTACACACACTTGCAGAAGATGTGGCGCCAAGATCAAGGCCCAGAGGACTTTGAGAATGCCACACTCGACCAACTTTAAAAGCGGAAATAAAGGCACCAATTTATTGACGATCAACTAGGAATCTCACTGCTCATCATCGTGGTGTCCTCCAACACCTCCTCACAAGCAATCTGGAAAAAGGACTCCTGTCGGAAAGCCAGTTTGATTTTCGTCGTCATCACGGTACCACCGACATGACCTCCGCTACATGACAGCTACAGAAGAAGTTTCAGGGGATGCGCACTCACCTATACACGACCATGGTGGATCTAGTGAATCCCAACAGACTATGAATTGTCATGCAGAAGTGCGACTTCCTGATGGCGTGCATCACTGATGACTGGAAGGTATCCGAAGCCTTCGCAATGACCAACGGACTGAAGCAGGCCGGTTTCCTTGCGTCTACCATTTTCAGTCTCATGTTCTCCGTCCTGCTGATGGATGCCTACCGTGATGAGAACCCCGGGATCCGCATCGCTTCTGAATTGATGGGCACTTCCTCAACAGCCGACATATGCAGGCCCCTACGCGCATTTTCACGGCCACAGTCCACAGTCGGCTCTTAGCTGACGACTGGTTGTCTAACACCACGTATGGAGCTATTCGCTGCCAAAGTTCGGACTTAATATCACCAAGAAAAACTGCGCCGAGGTCAACACTGAGGACAAATTATTTTATTTCAGTACCATTTTATTGCGCAATACCAAAATTGACGACAAGCTTGCTCAACGGACCTTCAAAGCCAGCCAGGCCTTTGACCTACGTCAAACCTCCCTGTGGAATCGGCATTGTCTCCAACTGTCCCCAAACTGAAGGTGTACAAGGCTGTAGTCCTCATGATACTCTTGTACGGAGCGGAAACCTGGACCGCCTTCGTCGAACAAGCTCGGAATCTGAATCACTTCCAGCTCAGCTGTGCCTGCCAAATACTGGAATTCAGATGACAGGACCAGATCCTGGACACGGAGGTCCTGGAAAGAGCGGGTATCTTCAGCATCCAGTTCATGCTGAAGCAACTTCAACTACGATGGAGCGGCCACTTGGTATGAATGGACAAGCAGCAACTGCTCAGCCGGCTCATTATGACGATTTCACTGTGGGTGCTTGCCACCAATTAGGTAAAAAAAGACACGCTGCAAGGAGATCCTGAAGAACTCCCTGAAGCACCTTCAGACATGCCCGTTCACCTCTCGGTTTTCTTTGCCGGCAAAATTATCTGCCTAAGAGTACTTGCCAATAACCCGAGTAACAGAGTGTGGCAAGTGAGTTCCGATAGCGGTCAGCGAACTTTCATCGATGAGTCTTAAGGCTTGCCTAGTTAGGTCACTCTGAAAATTGCAATTGACGCAGCTTTTGAAAGTTTAACCGAAATTATTAAAAGTCCATTGGCTTAGGAATATGTACATC